AAGGAAGGAAACAGGGTGGAGTCAGAAGGAGACCTGAGGGAGGCACATGGAGCAGAGAGACATGTGAAGAAGATGTACTTGCTTTTTGGTCCTGGACTAGTTATGATAGACATGGGTGAGAGACCTAGGGGGAGGTTAACAGTGGCAGCTTTTGTCTAGATTTTGCTTTTACTCTTTTCCTCCCATACTTGTCTGGCCATGTCTGACCCTTTCCTATCCGTCCCCACCGAAAGGTGCTTTAGATTATGGCAGGCTTTTGGGCTTTGCTTTGGGTCAACCCTGTTTGGCTGGACATTACCCACGAGGGGATGGGTAACTTTGGGTGCTAGATTTGGAACTAGATTTTTTGTCTTTTCTGTACTGCACACTAATTGTATTAAAGTTCCTTGCCATTAAAAATCTTATATTTGGGGGCTCCCCCTGGTGGTGTAAAGGGTTAAAGCACCGCATTATGAAGCTCTCCGAAGCCACTGCAGCAGGATTTCCATCCCTGGCCAAGGAGCTGACCGGCATGGCATGGCAGACCTCTCCTGACCTGCTGGCTGCTCCCTTCAGCCGTGTACTTTCTCAATCTGCCTGTTCTTCTCCCCACTCTGTCTCTGGTGAAGCCTCTCACCCACCACACCTCTGGCCTGTACCCCAGTTCTGTAAGGATAAATAAATAAATCTTAAAAAAAAAAGTCTTCATGCAGCAGATGGCAGAACCTACTTAGAGTGGGCAGGTTTGGAGGTTCTGGGGTGCTCCTCTCCCTGCTCTGTAACAAGAGTGGCTCACACACTGGGGTGGCCCCAGGCACCTTCAATATTTTTGCTTAGCCTAGATCCTGAAGAATGACTTCCATTAGCAAGGAATAGATGAAGAGTCTTGGAGGGCTCAGCCAAGTGCCTTATAGTGCCAGAGAGGAATGAAAATGCAGAGGGAAGGAAACGGAGAGGGTAAGAGAGGAGCCTGGTGAGGCCTTGGGATAAAGCTGAAAGGGGGTAGCTATGCTTGGTGTAAGAGCAAATTGGATCAATGTTTTGCTGAACCCGCACCAAAACCTCTGATACCCTCCACACCTCAGGCACACCAGAGCCCTCTAAACCATCAGAATCATCTCTGGAGAAAATGGTTGGGGAGTCCTTGCATTAAAAGAGATTAAGTTTTTGCTACTTGATGAATGTGATTATAGAAAAGGAAGTTAATATTTGTTTAATATTTATTTTTATTTATTTCTGCATAAAGGACCTGGGGTGTGGGCCAGAGGTGGGAGGTGGGGGTGAGAAGAGTCACCAGAGACAGCATGGGGAGCAGACCAGGAGAATCTACTGAAGTACACCGCTGTGATGGCCAACAGGCATATGAAAAAATGTTCAGCATCACTTGTTATAAGGTAAATGCAAATTAAAACTGTTAAGGGGAAGGATGTCCTAAAGGATGTCTGTAGAGTCTTATGGACTCCACCCCTTACTCCAGCTTTCTGGACCCTACACCCTACTCCAGTGATTGGAAACTACAACTCCCAGCAGTACCAGGGAGAGAACTGTGAGGACCCAAGGGTGGAGCTAGCAGGAATTCTGGGACATTTGGGGAATAAATAAGGCACGATTACATCTCTTGCTCTTGCTCTGGGGAGGGAGGCAGCTCTCCAGACTGTGTAAAGCTGTGTGTTCAGTCAGCCTAGCTGTAAGGTATTCCAGTTACTTTGTATCCTGCTCTCTTTCTCTGGGTTGTTTCCTATCCTTTCCCTCTTTGTAAATAAACCCATTATCACCCTTTTGTGTGTACCTGCAGTATAACTGAATTGTGAGTGTGGGGGTGAGTCCCCACAGCCCAGTCCACTCTGGGCTTTCCTGTAACAAAACCACAATAAGATACCACCTCACCCCAGTGAGAATGGCACATCTTCAAACAACTAACAACAACAAATGTTGGCAAGGGTGCGGAGAAAAAGGAACTCTCCTGCACTGCTGGTGGAAATGCAAACTAGTACAACCACTATGGAAAACTGTTTGGAGGTTTCTCAAACTGCTAAGCATGGAACTTCCATATGACCCAGTAATCCCACTTCTAGGTATCTACCCAAAAGACACCTGCACCCCCATGTTTATTGCTGCTCTATTTACAATACGGAAGACATGGACTCAACCCAAATGCCAAAAAATAGATGACTGGATCAAGAAGATGTGGTACATATACACAATGGAATATTACTTCATCAATCAAAAAAGATAAACTCATGCCTTTTGTAACAACATGGATGGAGCCGGAAGGAATCGTGCTTAGTGAAATAAATCAGAAAGAAAAAGAAAAATACCAGATCGTTTCACCCATAGCAGGAATGTAAGGGGTCAGAAAAAAAAATCAATTGAAATAAAGTAAAAATGAAAAACAATGAACAACCAGAGACATTGTGTGAAAGTAAATAGGGGGATAGGATCAAAATGGGAGTGGGAAAAGTACATGGGACTCTGGGGGTGTCACATGGGGGAATTGGTGGTGGGAAGTCCACAGGGATTACAAATAAAATGAAAAAATGTACAAAATGAAGAAAGATGTAAAAATAATATTTTTTAAATTGAAGAAAATAAAAAAAGAAGTACACTGCTGAAGGGAGCAGCGGGCAAGACAGGAGAGATCTACTGTACCATGTGGGTCACTTCCCTGGCCGGGATTGAACTTGTGCTGCGGTGACTGGTGACAATTTCACAGTGCTGATATTTTAAACTCTGTGTCAGGGAGGCCCAAGGAAGTTAATATTTCTTAGACAAGTTTGCATCCTGACATTTGTATCCACTATTTCAGTATTGTTAAATTTGTTAAAAAATAATATAAGTAGGGTTTTTAAAAACTATTAATTAAAAATCAATTCACTCCCTGGTGGCTTGACAGGTTAAAGCACAGAATTATGAAGCTATCCATAGCCACTAAAACTTGAGTTCGACTCCCGGCCAGGGAGGTGACCCACATAGCATGGCAGACCTCTTCCGACCCACCTGCTGCTCCCCTCAGCAGTGTACTTCAATAGATCTGCCTTTTCTTCTCCCCACTCTATCTCTGGTGAATCCTCTTACCACCCCCTCAACCTCTGGCCTATAACCCAGTTCTTGTATGCATAAATAAATAAATCTTTAAAAATTAATTCACTGAATTATTCCACATATATGAGTTACCTAGAGTAGCCAAATTCATAGAGAAGGAAAATTGAATGGTGATTTCCAGAGACTGGAAGATAAAAGAAAGGGAGACAGTGTTTAAAGTGTGTGGAGGGGCCTAGGCTTTAAGGTTCAGTGCTACCACCTCAACATGGTCCACTGCAACAGTCTGAGTTCCATCCCCTGCCAGGGAGCTGACCCACATGGCACAGAAGGCATCTCCTGTCTCACTTGCTGCCCCCCTCAGCAGTGTGTTTCAGTCCATCCGCCTGTTCTGCTCCCTACTCTGTCTCTGGTGAATCCTTTCAATCCCTTCCCCAACAGCCTTGCACCTCTGGCTTACACTCCAGTTCTTCTATGCAAAAATAAATAAATAAAGTCTATATTTAAAAAAATAAAGAGCACAGAGTTTTAGTTTGGGAAGATGAAGCATTCTGGGGATGAATGATGGCGATGTCCACAGAGCACTGTGATGTATTTAATGCCACTGAGCTGTATATTTTATATGGCGAAAAAAGGTAAATTTTGTGTAATGGGCCTCCCTGGTGGTGCAACAGGTTAAAGTGCAGCACTATGAAGCTGGCCACATCCACTTTAGCACGAGTTTGATCCCCAGCCAGGAAGGTGACCCACATGAGTGGCAGATCTCTCCTGTCTCACCCACTGCTCTCCTCAGCAGTGTACCTCATTAATCTGTCTACTGAGCTCCCCACTCTGTCTCTGGTGAATCCTCTCACCTGCTGCATCTCTGGCCTTTACCTCAATTCTGTACCATTTTTAAAAGATTTACTTATTTATGCATACAGAGCTGGGGTACAGGCTGGAGAGATCTGCTGCACCATGTGGGTCAAGTCCCTGGCTATAGATTGAACTCATGCTGCAGTGGCTGCGATAGCTTCGTAGTGCTGTGCTTTAATCCATTGTGCCACCAAGTAGGGCCCAAATAAAATAAATCTTTAAAAAATTAATTGCGGGCTCTCCCTGGTGGTGCAACAGGTTAAAACACAGAACTGAGAAGCTAGCTGCAGCTGCTTTGGTTCAAGTTTGATCACCGTCCCTGGAGGTGACCTACATGGCACGGCAGACCTCTCCTGTCTCACCCACTGCTCCCCTCAGCAGTGTACTTCATCAGTCTGCCTGTTCTACTCCCCACTCTGTCTCTGATGAATTCTCACATCCCCCATCGCCAACCTCTGTATGCATAAATTTAAAAAAATTATTTGCACTTCAATAACTTATACTGATTAAAGGTCTAAAATGAGAAAGTGAACAAAATGTTGTTTTAGGAAGTTTGTATTGTAGCTGAAAAGTTAAGAGAAAGACAAGGTAGGGCAAGGAGATCACAACAGCACAATTAATTAGTATGAATTAAGGTGGTTGTGAATTTGTGCGATGCTTCTGACAGTTATAGAGAGAATGGAGAGGAAAGATCTGCTTTTTACTCATCTCAAGCTCGGGATCTGGCGAATTACTAGGTGTAGGGGTGACTAAATTTCCCACTTTAGAATATAAAGAACACTGGAGGCCCTTTTCTATAATTCCTAGCCCAATAAATACTCTGGACATTGTAAGATAGATATCCCAAATTTCTGGGTCTGCCAGTTCTACAAAGTACATAGTGAGGTGCTGCTCACATACAGGAAGGGCAAGCCAGCTTGAAGCCCCACTGAATATGGCAGGATGAGGACAATGTGGAGGACACAGGGCCCAGAGCACAAGAAGTGTTAGTATTTGCGGGCCGCCAGGCGGACCCTACAGAAGGAAAGGTGTGGTTAGTTCAAGAACTACAATTCCCAGAAGGCATCGGAAGGAGCACCGAGGTTTCCGGTCAGAACTTATTTCCGGTGTGTTGGTTGCTGACGTTCTCTTCCGGTCTTGGTGAATCCCGAAAGGGTGTTAGGATGCGCATGGTGAGTCCCTGGACTTTGAGGGTGTGAGCGGGAAATAGAAGGGTTTCGTGTCCACACGTCACCCAACGGCTGGAAGTTAGCTCGGGGAGGACAGAGAAAGGGGAGGACACCCCGTTGGCCAGACGTAAATCTGGCAAGGGAGAGCGGAGGGCCAGGTTGCTGAGCCCTCGGAGGGAACCCAGAAAGGGATGTGGCGGGCGAGGATGAATGGGATCCCGAGGAAGGAGGGAGGTTAGAGTACGGGGGCGTCAGGGGAGGACCCCGCAATGGCGCGGCTGTCCAGTGGAGCGGATCGGAGGGGACGAGCCGTGAGAGGACAGCAGTGGTGAGGGACCCCAGTGTGTACAAGCCAGAGGCTGCTGCTGCTCGTCTGAAGTCGGCCGACGTCGGGCAAGGCTCTGTTCTGTCCACGTGGCATCCTCTCAAAAGACCCCCTGGGAGTTGGTAGCTCCCAGGACCCTTGAAGGGAAGAGTTAGCTTAGAAAATTTTTTTGTGCTTAAACTGATTTCCAAGGGCTGCAGGGAGGAGGCAGTGGGAGAGGATCGCGAATGGGTCAGCTCTGACCACGTATGGACTACTCTATGGAATGGGCTGGTGCTTTGATAAAATGAAAAGAGCACTGTTAGACTTTGTACGGGAGGATTTCCAGGAAGATATTAGTGATTTTACGTCTTGGGGTTGACTGTTCACTTTGCTTTTTTCCACCAAAGATGAGGCTGCTGGCATTTGTGGTGTTGGCACTACTTGTTGTCTCTAACGCAGAAGAAGGAGCCAGACTTTTGGCCTCCAAATCACTGCTGAACAGATATGCTGTAGAGGGGCGAGACCTGACCCTACAATACAACATCTATAACGTGGGTTCAAGGTAAAGAGACCCTGGAGCTACAATTGGCCCTTTATCGGGGTTCTTCGATTTTTCAGCTGGGAATAGTGATTCAGCTTTGGGAGAGCTCCAGCTACAGATACCATGAGTGACTGAGTATATTGCTGGACCTACCTTGGGGAGAGGAGGCTCTTGTTACCTCTGCTGCAAGAATCCGTCTCTTCTACTTTTGTGATGTGGAAAGGTTTCAGAGTGGTTTTTTCTTTCACTAGCCTGTCAGCACTCTGTTGCTTTCTTCCATTGTAGTCCCTTTCATTTTCTCTTCTCTGTTCATCTTGCTTCTCTCTCCCTCTGTGCCTGCATGGACATGTGCATGTTTGACAAGAAATTGGGCAGGAATGGGTTTGGCCCAGTCCTTCCTAAATATATGAGTGTGTTGGTGCTTGTGAGCTATAGAATCCAGACCTGGAGTCTTCAATGCAGTGAACCCAAATTTACCATGTGACTCATCTCTCTTTTCTGTAGTTCTTAATTTTTAGGACAAACAGGCATATTTGACTGCTGTAAGTTTATATACATTTATTAAATGCTTTTGTTGCCTCCATTTCCTAGTGCTGCATTGGATGTGGAATTATCTGATGATTCCTTCCCTCCAGAAGACTTTGGCATTGTCTCTGGAATGCTCAATGTCAAATGGGACCGGATTGCCCCGTATCCTCTTGACTCTGGTTGAAGCTGCGAGAGGGGGGGAGGAGAGGTTGCCCACAAAATGAGAGGGTCACTTCTCACAATCTAGGCATGACTCTTACTCAGTGAGGTTTTTTTTTTAGATTTTATTTATTTATGCATAGAAGAACTGGGGTGTAGACCAGAGGTACAGGGGATAAGATGGTTCACTGGAGACAGAGTGGAGAGCAGAACAGGCGGATCTACTGAAATACACACTGAGGGGAATGGTAGGCGAGACTGGAGAGTGTTAGCTTCTTGGTGGGGGATGAAACTCAGGCCATAAGGTGATAGTGCTGAGACTTAAGTCTTCTGCTGAAGCTACCATTTAGTTCCTGACTTAGGAACTACATTCATTTTTCCCTTGTGAAAAATTATAGTTAGACTTTCTGTTGAGGGTAAGTGTTCTCTTTGTATTTTTTTTTGGGGGGTGGGGTTGTTTTTAGTTTGTCTTTTCACCTCTATCAGTTATAATCAAGGAAAGATTTTCTGTGAGGTTGTCACTTATTTTTCACCCATAACCCAGGTTTTCTTCAGAACCCTCGATACTGAGCACAGCATGAGAAACTTTACTGTTGAGTACATCACACTCTACAAACCTGACTAGAAAGACATATGCTTTAGACTTAGCAGGAAAAGTCTGCATTTCTTTTTTTGCAAAGTATTATAAGTAGGAAATCAATGTGTTGGCAACTCCTTTTGTGAATGGTGTATTTAGCCCCAAGCGGAAAACTTATACCCTTAGGTTAATTTCTTTCCTTCCTTAATCCTTGGGCCAGTGCCAGCAATGTCTCTCACACCGTAGTCCTGCGCCCTCTCAAGGCTGGCTATTTCAACTTCACCTCAGCAACTATTACTTACCTGGCTCAGGAGGATGGACCTGTTGTGGTGAGTTTCCCAACTCCTTGAGTGGATGGGGTGCAGATCTGTCTTCTTGAAGATCTTGTGGATCATTCTAAGCAGCCCCTGAATTCTGGGAAAGCTCAGAATGACCAGAAACTTGAATGTCATCTTTTGATACAAGTTCAGATGGTAAAGTCCCAGAATAATGTGGTTAAAATGGGTGAGGTAGAAGTATTCAAGTATCCCCTTCCTTGTCTCCCTCCTGCTTTGCTTGTCACCTGGATTGTGTCGTTTGCTTCCGGTTTATTGCTCTCCTTGCTGTTAAGATGATCCTGTCTTTCCCTTGCTTAGAGCAGTCCTGTATTGCATAAAGGCTGAGGTCTGCTTTCGGCTGCATGCGCTCTGCATTCTGGCTATGCTCTGCCTCTCCAGCTTGCTGTCTCTCCTCCCACACATGCCCTGCTTCTGGTAACACCAGGCTCCTTCTAGCACCGTCCTATCCATGAGCTGATTCATTCCACTTTGCTTTTATTTTCTGTTTTCTCTCCCCTTCCCCTTATTATCTGAAGCCTTCTCAAGACCAGCAATTGGCTGCATTTGTTTCTCGCTACTGCATTTACAGTTTATAATGCTCTTTCCTACTTATTCTTTCAGTAAACATACTTTGGCTGCATCTAAACTTCCATGGCTGTTACAGTTTATGCCACTTTAACATTTAATTTACTGTCTTCAGTTGTCCTTTTCCTTTTTTTTTTTTTAAGATTTATTTATTTATGCATATAGCACTGGGGTACAGATCAGATGTGCAGGGCAGTGAGGGAATTTACCAGAGACAGAGTGGGGAGCAGAACAGGCAGGTCTACTGAAATACACTGCTGAGGGGAGCAGCAGGCCAGACAGGAGATATCTGCTGGACCGTGTGGGTCACCTCCTGGCTGGGGATTGAACTTGAGGCTGTGGCTAGCTTGCAGTGCCCTAGCCCATTGCACCACCAGGGAGGGCCCTGCCCTATTTCTTTTCTTTTCTCTTCTTTTTTTTAAAAGATTTTATTTTTTTATGCATACAGAAATGGGGTATAAGCCAAAGGTACAGGGGCAATGAGAAGATTCACCAGAGACAGAGTGGGGAACAGAACAGGCAGATCAGCAAAGTAAGCTGAGGGGAGCAGCAGGCAGGTCAGGAGATGTCTAACTACACCATGTGGTCACCTTCCAGGTGGGGATCGATTTCAGTAGCAGCTTAGGTCTTGAATTTTTTTTTTTAAGATTTATTTATTCATACAGAACTGGGGTACAGGCCAGAGGTGCAGGGGCAGTGAGAGGATTCATCAGAGACAGAGTGGGGAGCAGAGCAGTCAGATCCATGAAGTACACTGCTGAGGGGAGCAGTAGGCAGGTCAGGAGAGGTCTGCCACGCCATGTGGGTCAGCTCCCTGGCCAGGGATCAAACTCACACTGAAGCGGCTGATGCCAGCTTGCAGTGCTGCACCTTACCCATTGCGCCACCAGGGAGGGCCCATGTTTTGAATTTATAAAGACTTCTAACGGGCTTATAGATGAACTGTAGTTTATTGGGTGACTATACGGTAAGGAAGGAACTTCACAGAATGAAACACAGCATTAAAAGAAATTTAAGATACTCTAACGGCCCTTCCTGGTGGCGCAGTAGGTTAAAGCACCGCTCTAAGAAGCTAAAGCCACTTCCGCGTGAGTTCAGTTCCCGCCTGCCCCGGAGGTGACCACATGGCGTGGCAGACCTCTCCTGACCCGCCCACTGCTCCCCTCAGCAGTGTACTTTGTCAATCTGCCTGTTCTGCTCCCTGCTCTGTCTCTGGTGAATCCTCTCACCCTCCACATCTCTGGCCTATACCCCAGTTCCATATGAATAAATAAATAAATCTTTTTTTTTTTTTTAAAGATTTATTTATTTGTGCATACAGAACTGGGGTACAGGCCAGAGGCTCAGGGGCGGCGAGAGGCTTCACCAGAGACAGAGTGGGCAGCAGAACAGGCAGATCGACGAAGTACACTGCAGAGGGGAGCAGCAGGCGGGTCGAAGAGAGGTCTGCCACGCCATGTGGTCACCTCCGGGGCAGGCGGGGATCGAACTCATGCTGAGGTGGCTTTAGCTTCTCAGTGCTGTGCTTTAACCCGCTGCGCCACCAGGGAGGGCCAAATAAATAAATCTTTAAAAAAAAAAAAAAGATACTCTAACATTAAGTGCATTTTCTGAATTCTTTTATTATAAACCACATGGAACTATATTCTTCTAATCCTAGTTACATTTTCACCCTCTAGAACTAACTTTAGCTGTCCTTGGTTTTCTACAAGGTCCTTGATGGGTTAAAAGACACAAAATCAAAGGCTCCACAGCCACTTTAGAACAGTTATTTGCACTGTGCTTCACACTCCTCTCTCAGACAGGAATGTGGACCAGGTTCAGCCCCCCTCTGGGGAGGGCTTAGACCTTTCAGAATCCTTCTCATTTCATGTGCACCTCGTGTCAGCCTGTGAGGCACAGAAGAGTATTTCCAGCTGAGGAGTAAGGAGGTGATGGCCAAGGCAGCTCATCCCACACTTGCCCCCTGGACGGTGTTTCAGTGCCAGCTGTGAACTTGGTGTGCCTGTTTTGGCCATTGTTTGTCTTCTGTTTCGCAAGTCTTCTGGCTCCTAATTTAGTTTTCCTTAAAGTTCTAAGAGTTATCCAACTCTTAATTTAAAAACTTTTTTTCTCATCTTCTTGCAGCTTTAAGACTCTAAGGTTAGAGTGGGAGTGGATGGCCTACCCTTTCTTGAACGAGAAGAGTTGGAAACTTGTCTAATGCCCTCCTTTTCTTCCTTTCAGATTGGCTTCACCAGTGCTCCTGGACAGGGAGGAATCCTGGCTCAGCGGGAGTTTGACAGGAGATTCTCCCCCCATTTTGTAAGCTTTACAGTGGCTCTGGGATGAGGCTATCCTCTGTGTTCTTGAACCCTTTGTCTGCTTAGAAGATTTATTTGGTCCATGGACTCTTGCCATGTTTATTTGTTTATGTCCAAAACAGGCAGCCAGCAAATACCTGCTTTAACCAGGAATTTCAGCAAGATCACAGTTGACAGAACCAAAAAACGACCCTTTTTCTCTACTTTAGCCTTTAGAGTCTTGGGGCTGTTCTGAAATTAAACGTGTACCTGCTTAGACCCAGGGAGTTGCAGAGAATCAGAGATGAAGTGTGGGTTTTGTAGTGATCTAGAGAGAATTTTTTTTAAAGATTTATTTATTTATGCATACAAAAACTGGGGAACAGGCCAGAAGTGTGGAGGGTGAGAGGATTCACCAGAGAGAGTGGGGAGCAAAACAGGAAGATCCATTGAAATACACTGCTGCCGGGAACAGCAGGTGAGACAGGAGAGGTCTGCTGCGCCCTGTGGGTCACCTCTGTAGCCAGGGATCGAACTCGGCTGCAGTGGCTGCAGATAGCTTCCTAGTGCTATACTTTTACTCATTGAGCCACCAAGGAGGGCCCTAGAAGAGAATTTTGTTTTGAAGATTTGCCTGAAGTGCTGAATGAAGAAATCATTTTATCCGTGCATTCAGTAATTATGACACATTTCTAGTTACATGCCCCTTTCTGTGCTTTGCTTTGGGAAAACAATGGCAAACGACACAGTCCCTTCCACCCACGATCCGATGGGCTCGTAGTGGACTCAGAATAATTCATTGGGGAAACCCTACTCTAGGATCATACACAAGGTGCTCTGAGAAGCAGAGTAGCGGTGAAGTTTAAACAAAGCAGACGTAAGGAGGGGCAGGCAACCAGGAAGAGGGAGATGTTCAGAAGCGAGGAAACGTGTAATCCGGGAATGGCCGGTGGCTTAGTGTGGCTGGTGGGCACATTGAGGTGAGGAATGCAGGCGAGGCGAGAGGGGTATGGACGGGGTCTAGGTCACAGGCAGTTTAACTCTCACAGCAAGATCTGGGCATTCTGCACGTTGTCTGGAGGGTAGCAGAAGCCTTTGGCACCACGCTTTGAGAGATGGATGGGCCCTCAGAGAGCCCTTCTGAGTCGGAGTGAGCAGAAGAGTTTACTGCCGCACCCTGCTAACTGGGCTGGCCTACTGCCTTTCTTCCCAGTCCTCTCCTGGGCCCAATTCAGACTTCTAAGCAAGGCCTTTGTTGTCTTCCACAGCTGGACTGGGCAGCCTTCGGGGTCATGACCCTCCCCTCCATCGGCATCCCCCTGCTGCTCTGGTACTCCAGTAAGAGGAAATATGACACTCCCAAAACCAAGAAGAACTGAGTGGGCCTGCCGCTGCCCTCTCTTCCCAAGAATTCCAGGTGCTTTCCAGACTCCAAAGGGTTTCTCAGCCTCTTCTCCCTTAGCCCTTGGCCACCTTCTGGATCCTGCCCTGTGTCAACCAGAGTGAAGGGCCAGGCCTCGGAGTCTATGAGAGCCTCCTGGGTTCCATCCTGAAGCCATACCAACAGGAATGCCTTTGCAGCACCCTGAGCCTAGAGGGGGACCTCTATGCACTCTAAGGGGCCCTCGGGTGCATTGCTGGCAACACGAACTCTCTCAGGGGCCCAGGAGGGGGCACTTTGGAGACTGCCTGACTCCGCGTTCCCTTTACCTGCCCTCCCTGCCCAGAAGAGGGGAAGATGAAATGAAAGCTGTGGGACTCTTGGAGGCGACCCAGTCTCTCTGTTCTGGGTTAGGGAAACGCTTACCAAATGGGGTTTTCTAATAAAAATAATGGCCATACTCACTTGTCTGTTTCCCTGTTACCTGGGTGAGCCTGCGTGCCCTCTCTTGGGCAAGCCAGTTGAGCGTCCGCCTCCACTCTGAGGTGGTGGGCCTGTTCCCGTGGGGGTTTCTGCCTCTTTGAGCACCTCTGCTTGCACCTCTTGCTCCCTCTTTAGTTCCCAGTCACCACATATGCCCTTTAACCTCTCCTGCCTGTTAGCACCTTCCCTGGAGCTGCTGGGAAGGAGAAAAATGGTCCGTCTGGAGATGAGCTGCTCTCAGGCCCTGGGAGACAGGTCTGATTTATTTATGAACTATTCTTGAAAAATTTCCCTGCCCCTGATTCTGACCCTTCTCTATTGGGAGCTAGTTTTTCTTGAGTTTGAGTCTGTTTTTAAAGCTTGCGCTTTTAGCTCAGGCCAGGAAGAGATGCCTGGCCCCCTGGAGTTGTTACCCAGCCTTGGTCTAGGGATAGGCAGTGAGTTTTGCTTCAGCAGCAGCAGAGAAGCCACTGAGCTGACTCCGTCCAACGCAGGAATGCCGTGGTCCGGCAACAGCCTCCCAGGCAGGAGGGAAACCCAACAAATACCCGCTTTGTTCCTGCCCCCAAGTTTCCCAGTTTAGAGTCTGATGGGGGGGGGGGGCAACTCCCACCCCCCACGGGGTTGCTGCCTAACCGGTTTAACCTTCCCATAGCCCAGCAGTTGGAGCCTCTGGGCCCCAGCAAGGATGAAAAGGACATGGAGACAGCGGGAAGCTCCAAACGGAGTGGCCCTCCACCAGCTCACATCCCTCCTCCGGGGCCTGCAGCTTGGACACCCCAGGACTGGCCAGGTCAGAGGGCAAGGAGGATCTGTTTGCGTCTGTGTCCCCGTGGAGATCTGGAACTGGCTCAGGAGAAGGGGAGAAGAGTCAGAAGCGTGTAGAACAAGTGTAGGGCAGGAAAGGGGCGCTAAATGACGAGGGTCACCTTGCTCTCCGGGACTGTGGGCGTCTGGAGGAGCCCAGCCAACTGCGCAGCCTCCACTGAAGACAGGAGTTAACCTCTAGGAGGTGGTGCTCTGGTTTACAGGGCAGGATAAGCTTCCTGGCCGGAAGGTAACAAGGCTTCTTCCTCAGCTGAACTCCCCGGGAAGACTCCTTTCCCCAAGCTGGGGCGACCTTTCTTCTACCTTTCCTTGTAGAGCTCAGCACTTCGGGTCCTGCCTGGCCTTACTTATGGCAGAGGTGCCTAAGGGGAGCCAGACCTGCAGGTGAGGGTCAACATTGTGAAGGCAGGGAGTGTCACAGGCACCTGGAAAAAGGGCCAAAACCAGATCCTTCATCTTCTGAGAGATCAACTTCCTTAGTCTATGGAATTTGAGCCGCCCTTGAGTTAATGATGCGGGATAATATAAGAGCCTCTAAAATCTATAGACAGACTTGACTGGAACCTTAGCTTCAGGATTGAGCCCTCTCAACTTCTTGAGGTAAAATTAACATGAGAATGAGTAGCTCATAGCACTTCTACACTCAAGGGGGACCACCCTAGGGAAGTGTGAACCCTAATCTGATGATCTGCAGGTCTGTGAGGGAAGAAGAAAGAGCTGATGTCTCTTCTGGCCATTAGGTACCCACACGGAGGGGTTCCTCCCTAAAAGGCTGTATGTAGATAGTAACCCAGCTGCCAACATTTCCACACCTCTTCCACCCCCAGAAGCCAGCCCTGTTGTCTGAACACTGTCTGAACTGAGAGCTGGCAACTGCTCCCCTGTACCCCTGGCCTGCACCAGGAGGAGCCAGGTGGCCCTTCTGCCCTAGGTTTTGAGACTCAGCGGGAAACAAAAATGGGTGTAAGATTTTCCATGAAGCAGGGTAATACAGAGGGTCAGCGGAAGGATGGCAGCTTATCAAGGCTTTAGCCCCTTGAGAGAGCAGCTCAGGGTGTTGGAAGCTGCACTGACTATGCAGAGGCACTGGGCCCAGCCTCCCACTCTGTGGCCTCAGGGAAGGTGCGCCCGCCCCCCTGGGGCCTGCCTCCTGCTGCACAGTCACCAGATCCTTTGCATAGAGGAGCTCAGAGTCGCATACCCGGCAGACAGGCAGGTGTCCCCTGTGTTCTTGCAGTAAGGACCCAGCCAGGTAGGGGAAGGCATATGATGTCCACCTCTGGTAGCACCTGCCCTCTTCCTCTCACCCAGAGTGAGACTTCAGAGCAAGGCCTGACCACCAATCCCCCACTTGAACCTCTTTTAACAGACCAGGATGCAGAGTAGCAGAGCGAAGTGGCTTATCCAGATCACACAGCAGGGCTCCTCCTATACTGAGTAACTAGGATGAGCCCAGGATGAGCACAGCAGTTCAGTTCCACAAGATGGGCATATCTGTGTCTTCTTTGGTAACCCTGTTTTACAGATGAGGAAGCAGAGCTAACTGGTGACTTCTCTACACCCCCCCTACCCCCCCCCGGTCCCCCCCCCACCATCAGCAGAGCCAGCTAGGTTTTTCCAACTATCCTGGAGCTCACAGCGCCCTGCCCCATCAGAGCGGACTCCCCATTGCTTCAGGAAATCCAGTGTCTGCCTACATTGCCTCCAAGCCCTTATCAAGGTAGGGGGCCTGGTCAGAAGAGCCTCTGCCTGACCTCTCCTAGCTGCTGATCTGTTGGCTGGAAGGGGGTCAGACGGACAGCCTCTTGTAATTGCTTCTCCTGTACTTTCACCACAGCAAGTACAATCTTTCCTCCTCCCACTGCTGTAACCTGCCTTTTAAAGGGACCGAGGAGTAGGTTTGAAGTCACATTTGAGAGAGGGCAGAGGACCTTCCTGGCCCCAGTAGGACCTCAGGGTTAAGTAGCTTTCCAGCTGCAGGCCTTTGCCTGAGATGTCCTCTTTCTCCTCTTAGCTCCACCCTGTCCCTGATGGCGGGAGAGTGAAGCCTCCCTGGGATGTAAGGTTTCCCTGTACTCTCCTTCCTCGAGGTGATACCAGCCTGATTTCCTGTACCTGTTTCCACCTGTTCCTGAACCTGGTGGTAGCCCATTGTGTAGGGAATGCTGAGGACAGAGGGACCCAGGAATCCTCAGGGTCAGCCATGGCGCCCAAGGGGTTAAAGTCTTGGGCACCGGCACTGGCTAGAGAGGTTTGAAGTAGGGCGGGGAAGGGAAGGGCTACTGTGCCGAGGCAGCTGGCCTGAGCTGGAATGAGGCTTCCCTGTCTCCTATGCAAACTTCTGGACCATGAGCAGTTCCCTTACAGGGACCAAGAGAGAGGCACCCCCATTAAGGTGCTGGATTGGACAGGATTCTTAGGAGGGCCACCTGAAACGGGACCTTCCCCCCAGACTGAAGTCACCAGGCGAGGGCAGGAACGGGTCCGCCTCTTTGGGATCTCTCCCAGATCTGGTGAGTTTCCTTCCCTCTGTCCTTTCCCATTCCCCAGGTCCTCATTCTGTGAATGGGCAGTTCCCCCAAAATAGAGATCTTCAGGGATTCCTCAACACCCCAAGGAATGCAAAATAATTTGTAGTTTTCATGCATTTAATAATTTGAATGCCTTCTGTACTCAGCTCCTATTTTTAGAGGGCTGTGTGTGTGTGTGTGTGTGTGTGTGTGTGTGAAGGTGTGCAAGTAGGGAATCAATAATGGTCAAGGGTAAATTACCCGACTTTGTGTGACAAGTGATGCTAAGTTCTTCATCCTCACAATCCTATGGATTGACATATCTAAGTCCTTATATTAAGAGGAGGTATAGAGAAGTTAAATAACTATCCCTTGTCAATGAAGAGATAAATTGTAGGCCTGGGGTCCTGAGGTTCAAATGTAAATTCATCTGACACCAAAGTCCATTGTATTATCATCCAGTCTCTTTCTTGTTCAGGAATTATTGACAGGGAGAATAGTTATGGAAATTTAGAAACCATGAAGTCCTATTTCACCCAGGGTGCCCTTCTAGTTCTAACAAGTTCCCTTAATTTCTGGGGGCAATTATGAGATTTAGAGGGCCATCAACTCATGCCTGAGAGCTAGGAACTTCCAGATTCCAGATGAGCCCACCCATCCTCCACCCCACTATCTTTAAATGTTCACTGGGATTTGATCAGTTCATTCCCCGCACACAGTGGTCAAAGTCTCAGGTGTGTACCTCTGAACCTCATAATCTCTCTTGCCCCACCCTCTGGCACAGCACCCAGAAATCTGCCAAGGAACTGGCAGGAGATAGAAGAGGACAGATTAGTCTGACCCCTGGTTCCCTAGCTCCCACCTTATGGGCAAGTCTGAAGCCCAACAAGATCCTGGTATAGAATAAGCACAGAAACCCAGCAGAAAGGAAGAGGGCAGAGCCCCTAGGTTCAGTTTGCAAAAGAATGAAAAAGAAACATGGTCACATTTGGAAGTTAAAAGCAGCAAAGTCCCTGACTGATTTGTGAGCCTTATTCATCAAAGAGGTAGGGGTGCCTGATTGATGACTTAGAAGAAGGAAGTATAGTTAGATTGGAGGTGGGTATGGGTGACACTCCAGGTCTGAACGTCCAGAACTAAGTACTAGCAATGGACTCAGTAGCTGCCTGTGGGCCCCGAGGCAGGTGTCTGTCAGGGATTACTGTGGAAGCTGACTCGGACAGGTGTCTTCGCCAGCATCTGTCCCCCACTAAGGGATAGTCCACAGGTGCCATCATCGTAGCTGTGTGTATATCCTTCTGGGTCCTCGTCTCCACACCTGAGCCCTGGGAGGTGCTGAAGCTGGACAAATGAACCCCTTCTACAGATCCTTTGAGTTTGGGGTTATGGGACTCCTCTGGAAGGTAACAGGGAAGTCTTGAGTCGAGAGTTCCAGACACTAGTGTTGGCACTCACCTAAACCTCATGGTCTCCCACTGAGACACAGAAATATGTTGTGACTAAGCTGGGGTGAAGTAGGGGTGCTGGAGATTTGGTTCTCCCCTGCCATAGGATGGGGATTCCAGGAAGCAGAGGTAGGAAGCACCTGAGGCTACTGGGGCCTTCTTTTCCTGAAGCTAAGCGAAGCGAAGCT